ACATACTATACAACTTCAAGCTTTCCAACTGAGAGTGTGACTCTTTCTACTTCCAAAGCCCTGGCCATTTTTTAATTTGCTTATCATATTACATGGTTTGTAAATAGCAACCTCATTTAGATCCTCCAGTCCAGTTGCCCCATGCACACTATACAATGCGGACTTTACCAAGCAATGTGCTCTCTTTTCCCTGGGACACAAAGGCATACAACGTGAACTGGCATGAAGCTGAGAGGTTAACCACCACACTTTTACTGTACATTGTCTTGTATACATTGTTTTGTGTGTTATTTGTAAGTATGTAACCCTACTAATAAATGTATATAGCTGATTGAACTGCTTCTTTTATCCAAAAATCCTCAGCTGTAGATGATTTTATGTGAATTCTCTTATAGTGATTGGAATTTATTTACATATCCACTTCACCTGGTCAACACATTTCCGAAGACAACTGTCTAAGGTGGCCATACACCTGCCGATTATCGTACAATAGTTGCGGGAAATCCAGCGATCGTATGATAATCGGCAGGTGTATGGAAGACGTGCGACCATTGTTACTGTACGGTCGCACGTCTTTTGTCTTATGAGAACGTGCGTGCTCATAAGACAAATGCCGCACGGGCCGGTGTGCGCATGCGCACACTGCCTGCTCAGTATAGCAGTCATCGTAAGCCCTCCCCTCAGCGGGGCAGGTTTGCGATGATCGCAAGTACAATCTGCCTGTCTAAAGTTGGGCAGATAGTACGAGCTTTTAATTACCTTACAACCATCGCAGGATGAAAGTCGTGCGATGGTTGAAAAGTGTATGGCCAGCTTAAGAGGGAGTTTCCCACACTTTGTAGAGATTTCCTCTAACTGCCTGTTTCATCTCTGTGGCAGAAGCGAAGAAATATCTCCCCATCAGCTCAGAGACAGAAACAAAATAAACCGACAGGGATTTAAAAAAAAACCAAAAAAAACAGTGTTTGTTTTACATAGTCTTTAATAAAAATATTTTTTAAAACAGTCAAATTACATAACAGTTTCTTAATCATTTTAGTTTACAAGGCGTTTTCCATGTTTGCCAATATAAATATTTTTTACTTTGACTATAAATTCAGATAGTGATTTAATTTTAAAATGCTTACAATACAGCACTGAATTGTCAGAGTGTCTTACCAATCGATTTGTTTTATTTCATTAGAATGAATCATTCCTCAACTCTGACAATCGAGTCAGTCACATTCATCTCTGACAACAGGGTTCTTCATGACGGTATGAATTATATGACAATTTCACATTCTTGTCATGGTTGGTTAAAAACAATATCTAGTATTTCAGATAGTGTGATGATATCAATGGTGTAAAATGACAACAAGCAAGACAATTATATAACAGTCAACAAAAAGTAAAATGGATAAATATTAATCAAATACAAAAGATCAATCACATACATCATATGATATTCATCATAAAACTAACGAATATAATTTAAATATTTACAATTGCTACAATATTCAACAATTTAGGGGACTTGTACCTGTGTTCTGTTTATGCCCACTTATGTTAGCTGTGGAGTAATGGAATTTTTCTGGCACAGCTTGCCCTGATCCTTTACGAAAACATTATTTATTACACAAAGGTCTGTAGTCAGGGCAAAAAAAGAGGCAACATAACAAGTTACAATGATTAGTATGTTGTACTACATCTTAGTATAAGAATCAGTACCACCCCAGGGGTAGAAAAACAACAAATCTCACTGGCCATGACTGCTGGAGCATAACATGAATTTGTTGCTTGTAGGTACTAAGTACCATCTAGGTCTCTAGTTTCATTTTCAAACAGAATGAAAGATAAAACCTGATCACTGGGAAAAAAGTACATTTTTGTGCCTCTGTTCTTGCTATTTTTAATACACAAGCCATAGCCTCTTCTTAACTTTAATACATCAGCCACAGTTTTATTAGGTTTGTTGTGTTCCAAGCATGGCATAAAACACCTTTAACATATGTTAAGTTAAATGGGAAGGGTACTGTTTTCGTTCTGTGGTAATAATAGAAAGGGTCAAAATGTCCATTATCAGCAGAACCTCTAAATCTATTTTTATTTTGATGCATGGGCACTACTGTAAAGGGTTTACATAGATGCTGTGCAGATTAGGCTAAGCTCTATTGCTATGAGCTACAATATTTTTTTGAGTTATTATATTTTTAACCAAGTCTGTTTAAACTTTATAACCTTGAGTGACGTATTGTCAGTGAAACAGAAAACTTGCCAAAACAACTGATCTTAACAGCCCATGTTGTGAAATGTTTTATACCATCTCCTGCCTATTTCGAACTGTGTTATGTCCAGGCCAACAGACTTTCCATGGCAGGCTTTCAAAGCCCAGTCAGCAGCAGAGAAATTGTGAATAATGGGTTGGTATCATTTCAACCCATAAAGGTCATTCAGGGAGACCAAAAACTGGGCAGTTTCTGCACTTTATAAAACATACAAACATCTTACTCACTGCTTTGCCATAGCAGTACAAAATATGCAAAATGTGCATTATAGATAGTATACTTCAAAAAAACAAACACAGGCTTCAAAAAAATATACTATGTACAGAAATCAGTATGTAGGTTTTGACATCAAGAACAAATGCTAGGTATTTCTCAGGTTTTTGGCGGGAAAACAATTGCAAAATTATAGTTACTCCCTGCACCCCCTGACCTTTTACCTTAAAATGATGCTTAGGCTGGAACTAAGATTTAACCATCCCCTCACCGAAGCCATAAAGTTTCCATACACCCTAAATAACCCTTAACTTTCCTCATCATCCCTGACAATTAACCTAGCCTTGAAACACAACCCTTTTCAGCAACCTAATCCTAAATATAATCTTTAACCTATGATTAAAATGAAGGTGTAAATATTTTATAAACCCTAAAACCAAAAACCACAGGCATACTTACTGAGGCTTGTCAAACTAGTGCCCTTTAGAGTCAACATAGCCCAGGAACCCCATCTTGATAGCCCCCTGCCAGTCCTAAATGTAAATCATGTGAGACCACAAACTCTTCTAGAGTTCATTAATGCTTCAATTGCATTAGCACTTTACCTTTATGGAAAAACATATTTTTTAACTGGGCTGCTAATGCTTAAAATGCCTGCATATTGTTTTCCAGTTATATATGTGTGGCTATCAGTAGAACTAATTTGGTCACTTACTGGCTTAACCCAACTCAGTTTAAATATAATATATAAGGTAAAATATACCTTCATCCCTTTATAAATTGTATAAGGTATAATATACTTTTCCTTGCAGACTGAATGAGGGTTGAGGTACTAAATTTCCACCAAAACAGTAAGCAGTCAAAATGTGGAACAGTTGCACATAGTAACATGTCAGCTTTTTTCTTCAGTTAAGCTTTGAAAAAGAAAGAGAGAAGCTGATTGGTTGCCATAGGCAACTGCTATGGATTCTGTCTGCTCCAGTTTTGATCAATTGCCCTCATTATATTTGCTCATATTTCATGAATTAATTAACAATATGTGTAAATCTGGAAAATATATTCAATGAAGCAGAGAGCAATGTGCAAAACACGGCAAGCTATTTGTCTCAATTTACAAAGCTTTAATACGAGATAATAATTTTTATTTTAGCTATGTGACTGTAATGTTCAGATCTTATTGGACACTGCTGAAAATAACAATCACTTTTTTTTTTTAAATTAGGATTCTTATGATGGTGTGTTAGCTTTGTAAACTGAGCCTATAGTAACAAATCATCAATTATCTTTTACTTTTCTGACCATAGTAAAATGCTCTCTGATTGTTATGGGTTAGTGTACTTTGCACTCTTTACTAAAATCAGATCATTTTTATTTAGCCCCAGTTACTCTGCATCATGTAAGAAAAATATATAATTAGTGCATACTTCTCCAAATGTAACTGAAAACATAGCTTAAATACACACTGCTGCTATACAGACAAAACATTTCTTTTCTCTGCCTTTTTGATATTTTAGACTCATTAATACATGAATATGCTACATCCTTGGAACCTCTATCCCATACACTCTGAGCATTGTATTCATATTTTCTGAAGTGTGATAATCCACTTACAAGCCAACAGTTTAGGGGTGTAACCTAGTGGCAAACAGTTCATGTAATGTAAGTAACTGGAGTATTCCACTGATAATTAGGAAATACTGCAAAGGAACACTTAAATCATTTCTTGAGTTTGTATTAAAGGATATTGCTATTGTCTCCATAAATATCCTGTCCAGAAATTATCTCCTTTGCTTCCAAAGTAGCTCCACAACAGATTTACTGTGAACAGATGAGAAACATACAAACAGTTTCTTGTTGATATTACAAGTAACTGTTGGTTGTCTGTACGTGCAGAAAATACATTCAAAGAGAAGTAAACTCTTATTAAAAAATGTAAAGCTGCATTAATATCCTCCTGAGAAACACTACCCTTTGTTAAAGCAGAGTCAGTCTGGTGCACCGACTACTGTGTTTCACTACGGCTCCTTCATAAGATGATCTGGGTCTGTAATAAATAGTTAGGCATGTGAAGTAGGATGCAGTGGGGCAGCTTTCAACTTTGCTTCCTAAAAGTGCCCTACATTAGAGTGCCTGGATTAAGGAACCTTGAGCCAACATTAAAATGCACATAGAAACATCTGATACTAGTGCCTGGTTTTCATTTTCCAGTGCAGTGCATTTTGCATTTTTTTTCCTTAGAGAAATGTTTACTTCAGTTATTGTTTTTGCTTTTAGAGTAGTCTAATTTTTTGACATTTATAAAAAACAATGTCTGAAATATTAGTTGATTACCACTTTTAAATGTCAACACATACTGTATATTCCAAAACAAGTCCATTTGCCGTCAGTGCTAAAATTAAATTTTGATACTACATTGATACCTTCCTATTAACAGAAAATCTAAAAGTATGAGCAATCAAGGACGATGAATGGTTTAAAAGATGTAAAGATGGAATGATGCATTACAAACAGGATTTGTATAGATTTTTCTTTATATAACAGCAATCTGTGTTTGGTTTGAGCTATTGTTAACCAAAAAAAGGAAATTCAAAGTTTCACACTTTTGTTTTCTGATGTGCTCCAAATTCTTCAAAGTGGATCCCCCGAGAAGTTGTAATTTTCATAACAGCTCCATTAGCTCCATCATCTTCTATGAGACTCACCATTCCTTTGGCAATGAGGGATGGACTGTTACAATAAAAACAAAACTGAATCTTAGTATAAATCAGACAAATCAACAATATAACTAAAGTAGAAGAGATACACATATGCTCATTTCAACCATAGATATCTATTGCTTCTACCTATGATGTGTTCTAAAACATGTTTAGAATATTCCCTCACAAATGTTGCAAAGCTGCCAATGAAATAACTTACTCCTGAATGTAATGTGATAGACTGATTTAGTTGACAAATGTCTGAACTATCTGACTGGACATGGAATGAAGGAAATATTTCAATGTCAACATGAATCTACCTATTAAACATTTTTGTATGGAATGACAACTGAAAGAGCAACTGCCCTTCTTGACCATAGCAATCAATCCGATTATGTTTTTTAATTCTGCCAGTGAAGTATGATGATGAAGCAAAGCTGGTCATAGTCAGGCATATTTCTCTCTCTATTTTCTTTCTTTCTTTCTTTCTTTCTCTTTCTTTCTTTCTTTCTTTCTTTCTTTCTTTCTTTCTTTCTTTCTTTCTTTCTTTCTTTCTTTCAGCAACCCCCTTATGCCTCAATCACTTCTGGCCAGAAGAGTGTCAATCTTTTATATCACTTGCATATATCAGACTAAGTATGGCCAGTTTAAGATCCACTGAAGTAGAGTTTCACACCGGATGACAGCTCATTAAGACATATACACTAAAATTGGGCACAATACTCGAATGGAGGCTGGAAGGGACTAGACAACCCAGCACCCAATCGATTGTGTTCACAAATGCTGCATTATCTGTCTCAGAGAACACAACAGTGAACAGTCAGAATAACGCAATCCAGCAGACTGTAGTTAAGCTGTAGGTAAGTAAATATTTGGTGCAAGTAACAATTGTTATTATGCATACAATTCAACCAACAAGCGGTACAAAAATTGTAATTCTTATTTTCCGTTGCTGCTAATATCTAGAAAAGAAAAATCTAGAACAATAAAATTAGTTTGAAGTAGTTGCAAATTATATGGTTGGAAAAATAGAATACAGCAACACCGTAGCAATTTAATGCAGTTTGTAAAACTAAACTAGCTATCCAGGTGGTAAAATGTAACTGACTTGCCATCTTACAGCAACAAACAAATCAAGTCCAAAGGAGGCCCTAGGGAGGAAACACCAATTGTTCTATGTGCCAAATAATGTTAAACAATATTCACTATTGCAGCAGAAGGCTTGCCAAGTGAAGCATAAACAATGATTAATACAACATAGACCAAGGAAAGCAAGTCGATTCTATAAATAAACAGAACACCTTAATGGTCATGATGTACTATGCTTTAGCATTTTGGGAAGCACTTTTTTTTGGCTTAATATCTATTCCGCAAGCACCTACCCATGTTCAGCATATATGTATTTTACCTTTGTTTTTTTAATTTATAAGGGTAGTCAAATTTCTTCACACATAAATTGTTATCTTTTTATTCTATGCACCTGAACTCCAGGTGGCAATTAAAGTCACAAGTAAATGTAGTTTTAATCACTCTTCTGTTTAACACGTTCACATTGCCTTGCGCAGAAAGCCCCTGCACTGAGGGTAGGACAAAATAATACAGTGACAAATCTTGGCACCAGAAGTACCTGCTATACCCATGTGTACTCTGCAGTAGCAGCGCTAGACATTTTTTGTTGGTAATTCAACAGGAGTCTCTCCTATTAATGGAGCCAAAAATGATCAGACTCAGGGGAGGTCAAAGGTTATCAGGTATAAAGATGAACTATAGACATGTACTCAAACTTATATATCTGGACTTACTCAAGCACACCAAAAGATTTCATCATGTCTTTTATGTTATCCTTGTATTTAAAGAATTCTCCCATATTTTCTTCTTTCTCAATAGACTCTAGAAGTGGCGTGTCTACAAAGGCAGGACACACTGTATTTATTCGTACACCATAGTTTCCAATAGATGCAAGCGCCTGAAAAAAATAAGAAAGTAACATGAAAAGAGTTTACAATGTATACTCTTAACACTGCTTGTTAGGATGTTTTATTCTTTTTCAATTTTTGTAACTGAGGGTAACTCAAGATTCCCCATCTCCAGGGACATCTCCAGTTTCTATACCCTCCCCTTTTTAAGTAGGTCTCCAGTTCCTTCTATCTCACATCTCCAAGGAGGTCTCCAATTCCTTTCACCACCCTTTTTTCCAAGGAGGTCTCTAGTGTTGTTCCAACCCACCTCCAAGAACATTTTCAGTTCATATCTCCACTCCTTTCCAAATATGAGTCTACTCTTTGTCCCTACCTCTTTTTAATGTCTACATTTTCTGTTTCCACCTATTCTAAAGAGGTTTACAGTTTCTATACCATCCAATCTCCAAAAAGGTCCTCAGTTGTTGTCACCTTTCCTCTCCAAGTTGGTCTCCAGTTCCTGTCTTCACCCCTCTCCAAAGAAATCTTAAGTTCCTATGCTTACCCCTCCCCAAGGAGGTAATTTTTAAGGGTATGATATGCTCAACCATAAATCCTCCTTATAATAATTTATATTATAGGAAACACAGTAAAGCCCTTCCCACTTGGCTTCATAGAATATCCAAAATAATTCAGTGAGGCATTTCTAATTATACTACGCTAGAGGGTACTTTAGCTCTTCAGATCCCACATACGTTTACATTTCACTTTTAAAGTTACATTTTATAATCTTTTTTTAGCAATATAATATACATGCATGCAAGCCAATTCTGTCAGGCCAAGCGCAGTCACCAGCTTGTCAATATGACACTGCTCCCGGAAGAATTTAAATCAGAAATTGAATTGCATCCCAAATCTAACTTAGGCTCACAGAAATAAAATAGATTGTTTGAAATGTACCATTGTAACTCATTAGCTCAATTGAACAGTATAGGTTACAGAGACTGACATCATGATCATGCAAGATGAGTTACTTTAATTCCATAAAGTCTTTATTAGGTCCTGACAGTACAGCATAGAGACTTTCAGGTTAATACGTCTTCATACTGTATACTGACAGTAACAAATTGTATTTTCTTTTGTCACTGCATATTGATTGATGGCCATAAAGCTAGTTCACAAATTCAGTTATTTATAGAACATAAAGATTATGGTCAAAGGCCAAATGTTGTAATTCAAAAAACAAGAAACATGACTACTGAAGCACAAAAAGAAATAGAGAGCCATTTATGCTTTGCTTGCCTGGCACTACAAGATCACAACAGCTCTTGGATTCAAAGGTAGAATCTTGGCTGTGGACATAGACCCTCAAGTCATCAATCAATGAAGGACAGTAATTCAAACTGGCAGATCAGAAAGCAGCTTTAGTTAGCTTTCTGATCGTGGCAGTAAAAGATGCAATATGATTGATTGTCTAGATGTGCTTTTGTCCTATTTTAGCATAGTGCGTCTATCAATGAGATTTAATACCTAATTGCAGGTCATTTTAAGGCAATTATAAGGCCATTTTTTAGACTATTATTGTTTTAAGAGTGTTGGCATCTAACAGTAAACCAGATTGGCTGTGCAGCTATTAAAGTTAGCATATTTTTGCATGCCTTAAGTAACACCCAAAGCTTACTATTGCCACTAATGTGAAATAAGTTTTTTTATCAACACCATCACATCATTAAAAGGTGATTAAACTCATGAAACAAAATTACTATTTTTTTGGGCATGGTTTCTTTGTAGTTGCTGTAGGAAACTGCATATGGATGTTATAACCAAGATTTATTACAAACATCAGTGAGCCTGCTATTGTTTTTCTGTCAGGATGTGACCGTGTATAAACATCAGAAGGGTAATTTGTAAGGAATTGATATTTTCTCTGAGCTGTACCTTGTTTCCAGAGCTAATAACTTTTCTCTGCTTTTAACACTGTAATCATTTACTTGTACTGTGAAAGTTCCAATTTATTTGGCACAAAGCATCCAAACACGGAACAAATTGTTCCTGCTGTCGACTCTATTTGCTCATTGGATATGTGATCATTGTCATTCCAAGTAAAAATAAAAGGAAAAGGCAGGACTGGAAAGCATCATTATTATTTCTTATATTCGGAATAGACTAGATGAGTCAGTGACATCAGGGTCACAAAGGTTCCCATTACTAAGCAACAAGCAGCTAAGAGTTTGATAAGAATTATGTAGTGTTTCATACCACTACAGCTTTGAGCCCCCACATGTCTCAGTCATTTAAGGGCAATCTTTGTTTTGTCACTGCAGATTTCTCACACACTATTTACTTTATAATGGATGTGTAACCAGTTGAGCCGTAAGAGCCATGTAGCCAAAAGAAAAGACTTCTGCTACATTTGTCTTACATGCAGTAACACCATCCCTTCTTATATATTCATTTTGTTACTCACAATCACCTCCATGGGCCACAGGTATATAAAATCAAGCACCTTGGCATGCAGACGGCTTCTACAAACATTTGTGAAAGAATGGGTCCTTCTCAGGAGCTGGTCCATCATTGAAATTTCCTTGCTACTAAATATTCCACGGTCAACTGTTAGTGGTATTATAACAAAGTGGAAGCAACTGGGAACAACAGCAACTCAGCAGAGTCACTAGCTACAGACCTCAGTGTGGCCTTCAGATTGGCACAACAACAGTGTGTAGAGAGCTTCATGGAATGGGTTTCCATGGCCGAACAGCTGCATCCAAGCCTTACATCACCAAGTGCAGTGCAAAGCGTCCGATGCAGTGGTGTAAAGCACGCCGCCACTGGACTCGAGAAGTGGAAACGTGTTCTCTGGAGTGACGAATCTCGCTTCTCTGTCTGGCAATATGATGGACATGTCTGGGTGGGGTGGTTGCCAGGAGAACGGTACTTGCCTGACTGCATTGTGCCAAGTGTAACGTTTGGTGGAGGGGGGATTATGGTGTGGGGTTGTTTTTCAGGAGTTGGGCTTGGCCCCTTAGTTCCAGTGAAGGAAACTCTTAAGGGATCAGCATACCAAGACATTTTGGGCAATTTCATGCTCCCAACTTTGTGGGAACAGTTTGGGAATGGCCCCTCCCTGTTCCAACATGACTGTGCACCAGTGCACAAAGCAAGGTCTATAAAGACATGGATGAGCGAGTTTGGGGTGGAGTCTTGACCTCATCCCAATAGAACACCTTTGGGATGAATTAGAGCGGAGACTGCAAGCCCGGCCTTCTCGTCCAATATCAGTACCTGACCTCACAAATGCGCTTCTGGAAGAATGGCAAAAAACATTCCCATAGACACACTCCTAAACCTTGTGGACAGCCTTCCCAGAAAAGTTGAAGCTGTTATAGCTGCAAATGGTGGGCCAACTCAATATTGGACCCTACGGACTAGAATTGGTATGCCATTAAAGTTCAGGTGCGTGTAAAGGCAGGCGTCCCAATACTTTTGGCGATATAGTGTATATATATGTATAAATAATTTCTATATTTCTCCTGTGTTTTTATACTGCGTCTAAAGCATTTAGGCAAAATGGAGCTAAGAATGACAAATGAAAAATTTGGTGTGCTAATATATTAATTGGTATTAAAAGAGTCCATGTTCAAACAATAAATGTCTAGCATTTCTGTAATATATTGATTGCTGTCTTGAAATGTCTTATTGATCAGTCAGTTTGATCCAAGTTATGACATTTTCTACTATACATTTTTGTACAAAAATATCTTCTTTCAGAGCTACTGTACCACTAAAACTGTTGATTTTACCCTAAAGTAAGAGTTTAGACTACAGTTTCCTTTTTACGGTTTCCTCCTCAACTTCCTTCTTTAGCCATTGCAGAAAATAAATTGTGATGTCAAGTTGGGAGTAAGTGGATTCCAAGGATAACCTGGAGTCAAAATTGTTTGTGTAAGCAAATAGCTAAATACACATCTGAAATTCATATGTTTGAGATATCATCCCTATCTAATCCGCATAGAAATAAAAGGTTAGCAGCAGACCTTTTTCATAAAAACCAATGTTCTTTAATTCATGATCAGAAAGGTGATATCACCAACATTTCAGGACTCCACAGGGACCCTTTCTCAAGTGAGTTATACTAACATCATGTCATTGTTGGTTGGAACAATTATTTTTATAGAGAAGGTGTGCTAGACAGCATTGCTGATTCTCCGGAGGGAGCAATCCCCCCGCTCATTTACAGCACCTTAGAATTATTAAGAGGATTTGGCCAGTATGGTGTTTGTCTGACCTACAGTAAGTATTACTCCCTATCTAATCCAGAACCCCACTTAGATGGGCAGTTACTTTTCTCCAGTTTTCTCTGCAGTTATAAGCATGCCTCACTATCCAAGAGTGTGTTTGGATAGTGCAGGAACAGCAGTTCATCTTTGAGGTCATCTGTGTGCTTTCTGCTCCAATCAACAAACTATATTTGTTAGATTCACTACACTGTGCAGTGCAGCAAACCTTGATTGCCTTACATTGCTGTGCCTTCCTTTCCCATTCTTAAGGCTGGTGTGATTGGGATTTCCAGCAACCAGTTCAAATAACGACTGAGGTAGTACTATGGTATTTCATATACTTAATTTAAAGTGACATTAAACCCTCAGATTTTTTAACATAAAACAATACTGTAATGTGTGCCTTACTGTAATCCATGGTTGTTTCCCTTCTCTTTGCTGCTCTTCCTTTTAAATCCGTATCTCTTCTCATGCTGGGGGAGAACTTCCCTTTGCAGTCTCTTCCTGTAGTGCTGGCTCAAGTTGTGAACCTGCACACAGACACCATGTATCCATTTCAGAGACAAGGCAGTCTGCTGCAAAACAGAAGTTCGGCCCAGCATGAGAAGAGATACAGATTTAAAAGGAAGAGCAGCAAAGGAGAAGGGAAACTACCATGGATTACAGTAAGGCACACATTAAAGTATTGGTTTATGTTAAAAAATCTGAGGGTTTAATGTCACTTTAATATATACTATTTAATTAATACATTATTGTATTAAATGGGCATCTTTCACTGCCCGCACTTACACTTCATTGTTTATTTCTGGGAGAAGTACTATACAAGGAAGGCTAAAAGTGCTTTGAAGGCAGACTGTTGTTGAACAGAGGTTTGTAGGGATGTAATAAAATGGACACTGTAAACCAGGCTACAAAAATAATATAGGAACATTTCCAAGATTGCATCAGAACTAATTAGTAATAAAATTTACATTTGAAAGAACTTTTAATCTACATTAAAGCAGAGTTACGTGGCGCATTGCAGTGAACTATATGGCTTTGATGGCACATCAGCACGGGAAACAATGCAGAAGCAGAAACCATGCTGGCCCTTTTTTTTATTTATTAAAGGCTTCTGCTCTTGAAAAAAAATCTGTGAAATGACTGTTTATATGGACCAGTGATCTCATTTGATCATCTATAGAGGTCTAATTTAGGGAGACCAGTATTGCTGTATTAGATACACATGGCACACAGAGCAGGAAACTGTTTTATCTTCTAACAGTGCTTTGTCATAAAACCAGCAACCTGGGGACGTTTGCCCTTATTCCCCCTTTAAAGCATTCTCCTGTGTTCATTTGAGTTGTATAATATATCTCCATTTAGTGGATTCGATTAGAATATATATTAAAATAGACACATTTATGTGTGTCTTATTACATAGCTTGTCTCAACTACCACTATGTGGTTAATATTGATTGCCTTTATTGTTGGCTACAAAAGATTGCTGGGAGTTTTAGCTGGCAAAGAGATGATTTACACATACAAGTGTTATTTTGAATGTCTTAGAAACCACAAAATCAAAAACCACACAGTCTGTTATAACGTGTCAGAGATTTAATCCATATGTTCATAAGTCAGTCACATTCCAAACATTCATGTGCAGTTCTAATCAAATGAAAAAATACGTTATGTCAGTTGTATAACTGCTGAATGTCAAAATGACTATCATATCTTTTTTTAAATATATGAATACCAAATTGATACTTCAGCACAAGAGCATGAAATGTAGAAAGCATTATTTTTTTATTCTTCAAATCAGCATATTCATTTGTGACACAACAATGCACATTGTATGCTGATGAAGACTAGTAAAACCCTTCCATAGTCATGTGATCATCACTGTCTAGAATGAAAATTTATATGCAATGCTATACTCACTGCTATTGATCTTGTGAATCCAATTACCCCGTGCTTTGAAGCAGAGTATACTGGTTGGTAGGCAGCAGGTGTGAGCCCTGTGATAAAGATAATAAACATAATTTTAATCAGTACCTTTCAAGACATGTTTATTGGTAACAGTGATGCAATTTTTTTGATTACCAGTTGGATTGTTTTAGAAAACGTTAAATGTCTGCATTAGTTAAAATGATTTTTAACGCATAAAACCTTAAAAGGAAACTATAGTGTATTTCCTGTACGTGCGCCAAGAGTATGTCTGAAGGCAATTATCGATATAATGCTCACAATATTAGAAGCCCCCAACTAACCAGTCACTACCTAAGGTTACAATTGGTTGTGGCGGTGGGCAATCCTATTCCTTTCCTAAAGATAAATGGTGCAAGCAGCTTGCTCCGCCTTATTCCCTTTCCCTCTCTATTTACAAGTACAGCCAACCTCCCTCCTTTGTTTATGACAGGGGTAGGCAACCTTGGCACTCCAGCAGTTTTGGAACTACAAGTTCCACAAGGCATTGCAAGACTGACAGCCACATACATGACTCCCAGAGCCATGATGAGATTTGTCATTTCATCACAGCTAAAGTACCGAGGTTGTCAACCCCTGGTCTATGGCAAGCCTCTCTAAGCGGGAGTGAGATAAAAGTGCAACTAAATCCTTTAAAAAATTTCTAGATATTATACATTTTTGAAAATAGTTTACATCTCTCTTCAAATTTTTTTTCTTGTGTACACTGCCTGAGGAGCATGTGTAGTGCAGTGTACAATATGTAAGAAGCTCAGAATGGAGCCGGGTGCCAAGATGATGTCCCTCTGTAGAGCTCTGTAACTCTCTAAACTATTGGTATCTGAAATGGCCAAAAAACGAAATGGAAAAACAGCATCCTTATACCTGTGTGTGTGGACCTCCCTCATGCTCCTCCATATATCACAGGTAAATAAATGTATACAAATAAATAAATAAAACCTGGCGCTCGTGATGCAGTTGAACTGTTCTCAGTTATGGCTCTGCTAAGCATGTAATGGAGTCAGATGTATTGAAAAGCTGCTAACAGCAGTGATTGCGCAGTAGTGGTTTGAACAGCTACTCACTAAAATGATCCTATTTCAGTCAGACTGGAGCTTCCGATTAAAAATTAATATATTTATGAAATCCATGGCAGCCGCATCAGTATTCTGTACACTTAAAAATTATGAGGGGGATTTATCAAAACTGGAACAGACAAAAACTGGAGCAGTTGCCCATGGCAACTAATCAGCATCTCTCTTCAGTTTGCTCAGGTAAGATTTAAAAATGGGATGGAGAAGGTGTATGATTGCAGTGCAAATCTGCTCCAGATTTTTGTCTGCTCCAGTTTTGATAAATTCCCCCCTATGTGTTCACGCTTCATTTGCACTTTTTTACACTGTATTGGTATCCTTAAATTGAAATGTAGTAATGGCTGAAGATAAGGAAACTTTCCAGACTCTAAAGAAAATTATGAGGAAGGAAAGGCGATTCCATTTTCAATTTGGACTGGGGGCCCGATGGAGGAAGTGTTGTTTCTAGCTGATAAGGCATAACCAGCATACTTAAGCTTTAGGCACTGTGACTTTTCACAAGATCTTTTTTTCTTCTATTCAGGATCACGAGAATGGTGTTATTTTACTTATTTCAGCAATTTGTTAGACCCCACGGTAACATGTTTGTAGGTGTGTCATGATGGACAATACTGTGGAACTCCTATGATTTTGAGATATCTGTATTTATATCCATTATTTTAGTGAATGAATAGCTAGAAAAAAATGACAATTTACACAAACAAAAAAACACAAATGTAAATCTATACTTTGTGCAAACAACTAAATATGCAGGTGAAATACATATACAAGAGTTGTTTAGCCTGCCAAAGTATGAGGATTTCTATTCATTAATTTCTAAGAGCAAAGAAAGCCTGGAGACCTTATTTTTCTCTACTGCAGTTAACCTATTGGCCAGTGACACAGAAGCAACATGTTGATGAGCCAATCTGTTAGTTTTGAGCATTTTCTTGTATGTACATCATGTGAGTTACTTTGCTGTTCTAATATTTTACAATATGGTATCTATCACAATAATATCATGTGACTCTTGCATTCCTAGTATGTTCCTGTTACGTTTACCTTGTATTTATATATGTTTGTTCTAGATCAGGGGTGCCCACAAGGTCGATCGCGACCGCGTAGCGATGACTGGTAGATCGTCATGTCCTCTCCTCCCGCCGCTTCTCTGTATCCCCGCTGCTCTCCCCAGCGGGGATCCGAGAAGAAGTGAAGGAACCGGGGGAGGGCAGAGGATGGAGCCGCTGTCACAGAACTAATGCAGAGCGAGATACTCAGATCAGCATATAACATCTTTAATCATTACAACTTAGAGCTCACGCCTGAAGAAGTGGAATCAACTGCAAAATGTGTCGACACGGGTCAACTGGTGCCAATTTACATTTGTGTTCATACATTTTTGCTCTGCTTGCTATGAGTTATGAATACCAAGCTTATGATTTTATGAGCAAACCATAGATGTTTTTTTTTATCTGCGGCAGCACATCTGATTGGCTCCGTGTGCTGCTTATCCCTCTCTTCTCTGTGGTCTGTGCTTTGCTGTACAGCGGATTGCAAGATCACATCATATGTAGGTATTTACACTATTTGTTTAAAAAAAAATGTTTAATTGTTTTTACTGAACAATTACAATTATTTATATAGTGCCAACATATTCCACAGTGCTGTACAATTGTTAGACAAGACAAGTAAGAAACACTGCCAAGCAGTAGGTGAGGAGGACCCTGCCCAAACGAGCTTACAGTCTATGAGAACAGATACTTGCATGAATTATTCATGTTATGATTGAAGATAGCCATATATCCAGAGGCTCCTCACACATGCATCTAATCAGCCAATCATGTGGCAGCAGCAGCACAGCACAGCACAGCACATAAAATCATGCAGATACGGGGTCAGGGGCTTACGTTATTGTTCACAATAAACAACAGTATAGGGGGTTATTGTGATCTCAGTAATTTTGACTGTGGCATGATAAATGGCACCTGACAGCAGGGGTGGACTGGGCCGGGGGCCTGGGTGGCAATTGCCCCCCGGGCCTCTCTGATGCCGTCACAAACGGCCCCATGACACCCGCTACCACCTGCACCCAGCCGCCCACCGCATCCGATGCGGCTCTGTGATGGGCTCGCCCGTTGCTCATCACAGGCCAAGGTAAGGTGACACAATTTTTAAAACAAAATCCAGGGACATTTTATCCCCGGAAATAAAATAAACCTTTTTTTTTATATTCACCTGATCCCTGCATCCACCATAAGTGTGGCCTCCAGTCTCCCTCGCTGCTAGAAGATCCACCGACAAGCACGGCCTCCCGTCTCCCACGCTGTTAGAAGCTGCATACAGAGCGTGCTGGTTACTACTTAAACCGGCGCACTGTGTGCAACTTCTGAGAACATACGCTATTAGCGTAGCGGGAGTGATGCAAAATGCGCAGCCGGCTTCCTCGCTACGCTAAGTATCTTCTCAGAAGCTGCACACAGCGCGCGCCAGTTTAAGTAGTAACCAGCACGCTCTGTATGCAGCTAACAGCGTGGGAGACGGGAGGCCGCGCTTGTCGGTGAATCCAGGGATCAGGTGAGTATAAAAATTTAAAAAATTGGTTCATTTTATGTTCCCGGGACATAATTTGTCAGGGGATGGTCTCCTCATTCTGGGGACTGTCCCCAGAAATCAGGGATGAATGTAGGGCTGCAACAACTAATCGACTAAGTCGATTATAAATGCCTCATGCTTGTCAATGCCAGACCCGCCAGTCCGCATCCACACTCCACACCTCCTCCCCGCCTCACGCGCACCGCCCACATCCACGATCGGCACAGGGACGCGGGGAGAAGAAGTAAAGAGGAGCAGGGGTGAGGGGATGACAGCTGCCGACAGACAGACCCGATCTCAGAAGCAAGTTGCTGGAAGACTGCTCAGTTAAGCCTGCACTTTCCCACACATGGTGCTCTATAATGTATTGATGGTACATTGTGCTCTATATTATACCATCAGCTATAGAGGACTACAAATCCCGGCAATACATTATACACTGTATGTATAATGTATTGCTGGGATTTGTTGTATTCCTTTATAGCTGGTGGTATTCTGCATTACGCTGTATAGGGGTCTACAAATCCTAGCAATAATACATTATACAGCGCAATGCGGAATTCCACCAGCTATAGAGGACTACAAAACCCAGGAATACATTATACAGGCTAATGCAGAATACCACCAGCTACAATGCACTATTGCTGGGATTTGTAGTCCTCTATAGCTGATGCTGTTCTGCATTGCTGTATAAGGGTATTGCTGGGAATTGTAGTTCTCTATAGCTGTTGGTAGGCATTATTGCTGGGATTTATAGTCCTCTATAGCTGATGGTATTCTGCATTGTTGTGTAATGTATTGCTTGGAATTGTAGTTCTCTATAGCCAATGCCATTCTGCAATGCTGTACAATGTATTTCTGAGTTAGTGGCAGAAATACCAGGGTCGCAGCACTCATGCACACGCACAGCCCTGACGAGGAATCCCTTCAATACCAGTGTGCTTTAAATTTCCTAAACCGATAGATACATTAGAGAGACTGTAATGTACAAGGGTACAGGTACTCTTAAGAATGAGAACACTCAGGGACCTATACACACACACACACACACACAATAGGTTGGACTTGATGGACTTATGTCTTTATTCAACCTCAACTACTATGTAACATTCACACTACTGTTACACGGATGGCAAAAGTGGCAGACAGGGGTGGGGAGAAGGCAGGGGAAGAGGGAGAGCGGGAGGGAGGCCAAGTTGCTGCACCATGGGCCTCTGGGTAGTACTTGCAACCTGGGCTAAAAGTTGCCAGTCAGCCCCTGCCTGACAGGCTGGTTTGAGTATTTCTGTAACTGCTGATCTTCTGTGATTTTTAAACACAGCAGTCTCTAGAATTTGCTCAGTATGGGGTGAAAAACGAAAACATCTAGTAGGCATCAGTTCTAAGGC